ACCCTTAAGAGCTGTGACACTGCGTCGTCTCTGTGCTGTACCGTGCTGCCCACAATAAACAGACGACACTGTCGTCTCCGTGCTGTAACACTACGCTGCTTGCCCCGGCTCTCACTCCTTCACTCAGGAAACCCATTTGGCTGTCCCCCCTGGCGCCCGAACAGGGACGGGACAGTTGGTAACCCTGTAGATGTGCTTGGTTGACTGGAAGCCCACTGTTGCTCTTCAGTGTCTACGGACACTTGTTCACACTTAGGATTTCCATACTCCTACCTTGACTTCTCTGTGAATTTCTTTGCCTCGTGCATGCTCCATACTCAGAAAGTAGATCAGATTGATAAATGAAAATTCTTCTCACTTCCCAAATGGCCCATGGACCTTGATTGCTTTTCCAATCCTTGGGTCTTAAGGATAGATGGAAAATTAAATCAATCATTAAAATTTTTTTTAAAAATTATTAACTTTATTTATTATTATTATTTAATTTTCTATAAGGCATAGACAGAGACGGGTCGGGGGAAGTGCGAAAGCAAGCCATCAGGTCCAGGACTCGTACCACAGTTGGCCATGTGGGAGTCCAGTGCCTTAACCACCACATTGCCTGCTGGCCCCAAGTCAGTCTTTTTAGAGGGTCTTGACACTGTACTTTACCCCCAGCTTCTATCACCCTCAGATCACGGGCATACGTATGCCCTGCATAGTCAGGAAGGTCCCTGGACACACACCTGGAATCTTTTCAGGTGTGTTAGCCTCACAGAAAGTTGCGTTTTATTGTGCCACTCACTGCTCTGCCCCGAAATCAAGTCAGTCCTGACTTATCTCTAATTTATCGTCTAGTCAGAATGATATTAACTGTCGCCCCACTACCTTGGACTGAAACAGCAGGGCATAGGACTGAGTTTTGCTGCCCTATACATATATATAACGTATGATTTCCTTCTTTGACTCTAGAAGCTAAACAAGTGAAATGTGTTCCCCAAATTCCATAAAATCGCTATTTTGCTTAGTGGCCATGGCACGCCTAAAGAATTTCATTCTAAATATAGAGAGGTATTCCACTGCAGCAAAATATCCCGGCAACTTGGTTCTAATATATAATTAAATCCTCTCTAGATTCTTTGCAGTTATGTTTTATGGCTTATTTTGAGTGTTCATATTTTATCAGAAAATTATAATTTTCCTCTAAATAGGAGTTTTTACAAGGCTTTTGAATTATGATGGCTGGCTTCATGTCTCACTATAATTAAAATAGTGGGGATAATAGTAACTGTACAACTGCACGTCACATGGTGCTGGAGAGTGCTGGGCCCTCCAGTCCCCTCAGCTCCCCACATCCTGCAGACTGCGGCAGGGGGGCATACTGCCCAAAGGTGGAGACCCTGTTTTTGACCACCTGGAGGGACAGCTGGTTTTAGGAAGGACCAAGATGGTCTAGGAAAAGGTGGTGAGGAGACCAAAGACTCCTTGCACAGCCAGGCTCAGCTGCAGTGTGTCTTCCCCCGAGAAACCTTCCTGGCTAGGCATTCCCCCCGTTTCCCACCTCACCCTGTTTTCTCGGGAGCTGTGACAGTGTCCGTAGCTTGGCTCATGAGCTTACTCTGCTTCTCCATAGACTGAACTCCCTGAGCACGAGGCTGAGTCTTTGTCGCTGAACACTGGACAACCGACTTCTTGGACCTCGTGTTCATCTTCTAGAGACGTTGCAACAAACTACCACAAACAGGCACCCCTAGGCAATAGAGGTTTATCTCCCCATGATTTTGGAGACTCCAGTTCTGAGATCAGGGTGTCATCAGGGTTGGTTTCTCCTGTCACCACTCTCGTCGGCTTGTAGCTAACCTCACCTCCCATGGCTCCCCTCCGCGTGTGTGCCGATCTCCTCTAGGAAGGACACCAGTCATGTTGGATTAGAGCTCAACCCCATGACCTCATCTTACCTCCTCACCTCTTCTAAAACCCTGTATCCAAGTATGGTCACATGCCGAGGTTCAGGGGTTAGGACTTAAACATGGACGCTTGGGAAGAGACACATCTCAGCCCGTAACACACATGGTAGGCATTCAACAAGTGTTCACTGAAGAAAACCTGAATGAATGCATGCATGCATGCTAGAACACAGAAACACCGTGACGGGCATTCTCCTGACAGCCACTCTGCTACGAAAGACTCTGTTTTTCCCTTTCCCCACTCCTCCTACTCACACTCCAAGAACCCAAACACATGAGTCTGTCAACTCTGGGTCCCACCTAACTGATCCAGTCACACAAAGCCCCTTACTACAAAGTTCAGATGTGCAACTCAGTCCCAGGAAAGACCAGCTTGTCTCCAGAAGGCCTGCCCTGGTGTCCTCAGGAGACCCTCACTCAGCAGGAGCTCCAGGACACACAGGGACTGCTGAGGGGTTGCTGTGACAATGCCCAGGCTGTAACAGGGCAGAACCTGCCGGCAGAACTCCCCCATCTGCTCCCTGGGCCTCAGCCATGACTGTTTGGAGCATTGTCCATGAGCCTGTCGGCGCTTCCTCTCGATCCTTACCCTTGCAAGGAAAATCTTCTGATTCGTTGGTCACTGGTGGACTTTTACCACGCTGTTCATTGTGAACCTGTGTAGCCCCTGGTCTGGCTTTGGCTCCTGCATCCTAACACTGTTACTTTCCACCAGGCCACCGGGCTGGAGTCCGAGCCAGTAGCCAACAGCATTCTGTTTCTCCGTGACAAAAGATGGGAAGAAGTCAGAGGCGCCCTGACTTCCGCTTTCAGTCCTGAGAAGCTGAACGAGGTAAGACGCAGGAATCACAGGGGCTGGTCCCTTCTCTCCAGACCACAACGGAGCGCCGGTTCACAATGTGTCCCCCACCCAGGTGGCACGTTAGAATGGCCTGCCTGCCGGGGCCTTCAAGGCCTCCTGTTACAGGGAAAGACAGGACACTGCCTTGGGAGACTTCCATTTCTCCAGCCTCCCGCATCCCCAGTTGCCATAAATCGACTGGGAGCCAGCAGACTCGGTGTCCTGGCCGTGTCCTGAGATGCTGCTCAGGACCCTGGAGGCACCCAGGAGAACACCACAGTGCTCTCATCCTTCTGTGTGATGGGCCACCCGGAGAGCTGGTTACAATGCAGTTTCTGACCCAGTAGGTACGGACCACACTTCACACCTCTTCACACTGCAGGGAACTAGAGAACAGCTTGAAATGAAGGTGAGCGCTGACTCACGTCTTCAACAGGGGAGCAACGGCCATGGAGTATGGGAGGCCTGAGAGGGTCTTTCTTGGCAGAACTCTAGGCAGGCAGGCTTGCCCGGGTTACCTTCAAGGCCAAATCGGAAGGAAGAACAGGGGAGTCGCTTCTAGCACCCTTGGGCCTGGCTCTCTCCCCTCCCCACCCACGGCCCACCCTTCCCTGCCAGCTGTGCTCTGCCACCTAGTGTTTTCACCCCCTCCTGGTCCATTTCTCACACACCTGATCCTGGCTACTGGGCCTTGTAGCTGAGCCTGCTGGCCCCCTCAGGTGCCGGCCTGGCTTTGGTCTTTGCTGTTCTGAATTCTGTAACAAATCCAGAGTGAGAAAGTGAGCCTTCCTAATTGGGGGTTCAAGTCCCAGGTCCATGGAGCAAGTTCAGGTACACTCTGGAACAAGCGACCTTCCTAGCACCCTGACCTCAGCCATCCTCCATGTCACCTGGGCATGGAGTAGCCTGCCTTCCATTCATAGGTGAAAGCTGCTCTTAGCTAACGCCTAAGACGTCCCCCATGGGGTGCTGTCTGAATTCCTGGAAACCCTCTGAACTACCTCAGAAGAGGAGAGGATTCCACGCCTCATAGCATCCTGTTAGACTCACTCGTAACCAGTGATCCTGCCCGGGCCCAGTGAGCCTGAGACTCACGCTTCTCCAAGCAGCCTTGCATGGTGGGCGCTTGGGTGTTTATAGCACTGGCTCCCCCTCACTCAGCTCTGCATGCCAGGCACTCTTGGGGGCTTCCTGTTTGTAGTCACACACGGAATCTTCACCGCGTTCCTGGGAGGCAAATGCTATTGTCCTCGTCCTTGTTTACAGAGGAGGAAACTGAGGCACAGAGAGATTACGGAGTGGGCTCTAAGTCAGAGCTCATTAGTAGCAGAGCCAAGATTAGATTCCGGCTCCCAATACCCTTCATGCCTCGGCTCACGGCCGCCCTGACCTACGGGGATTTTCACATGGTGTTCTGCAGACCCTCAGCCTGCCTCAGAGGCTGTCCGGAGGGAGAAGGAAGTGGAGTGGAAGGGGCCTCTGTGTGAAGCTGAGGGGGTCAGAGCTGCCCTTCCCTGTTTGCTGCCTGAGTCTGGAATGAGCTGAGGTACAGGAATGAGGGGTTACACAAGCCTCCTTTCTTACTGGAAAAGCATTTCAGCCATGGAGCCCCACCCCCACCTGATCATGTGGGCTTGCTAATTCTTTGCCCAGAATGGGACAACAGTGGCCTCCACCAGCAGGGGATGGCAACCTGACACCCAGAATGCCCAGTTCCTTTCCCCAGGCTCAGTCTGACCAGGGAGTGGAGACCAGGGCCTTAGCTCAGATGGGCCCATCTGATCACCTGAGGAGCTTTGGAGACTGCTGGCCGCCTGAGGAGACTCTGAAGGAGGACCTGCTTCTCTGCAAAGCTGTCGCCTCTGTTCTCAGCCACTCGGACAAATTGCATGGCAGAGTGTTCGCCTTGATCACGGCCAGCACTGAAAATGACAAGTGGTAGTAGGGAGGTGAGGCAGGCGGCTGGGCAGAAGCCACGGTCAGCGCTAACGTGCAGTATCGTGCTTCCCTGCTGGTGACTAAACAATGGCCTCACAGCACCGCAGATGGAGAAAGCCTCATTGTGCATAAAAAAGAAATTGATCAAGAGTATCTGAGGAAAAAAAGAAAAGAAAAAGAGAGAAAAGTTAGAAAGAGAAAAATTACTTTAACAGTCTTGAGCTATAGTTCTTTTCTTTTTTATTTAAGAGAGATTTTTACTCACCAGAGAGACAAAAAATGAGAAATGACTCCCAGGGGGGATGGCCACACTGCAGTCCTTTTATCTCCATTCTCCTCTTGGGCTTTTAGGCACACATGTACATGTGCCGGCGTGAGTTTCGAATTGCCAGGTCCAGGACTTGAACAGTGGTTGGATATGTGGGAGTCCAGCACCTTAACCACTACGCCGCCAGCTGGCCCTATTCTTTCCTTTTTCATGACAGAGTGAATACACACGCACAACACACACACACACACACACACACACACACGCACACACACACACAGGCACGCTCAACAGAGTCTCATCATGGCATGATTCCCTTTTCCCAACCTTCTGGCTCCTCAGGATCTTGGGTGCCCAAGTGTACACCTGGCATGTTTTCAGGCCAACCTGGGGATTTGAATCCATGGTTGGCATGTAGTTGCCAGCAGCCCACTATGCTATGGACTGTGCCACCCCCAGTATCAGCCAGCATACATCACAGGCACACACATGCACTCCCAGAGTGCTCAGGGAGGTTCTGGGATGTGAACCCAGGACCTTTCCCATATGGGTTCAGTTGCGTTACCATTGTGCCACCATCTGGCCTCGAGCTATAGTTCTTTGATAACAGGACTCTTACCAGGGTCCATATTTCTTTAGCACCTACAGGATGTACTTCAGAAAGTGGCACAGTGTCACCGCCCACACACATTCGGTGCTCCCGGAGTCTAAAGCATTCACTCCTGGTTCAGGAATCAAACCCTTAGTGCCTATGCCACCAAAACATAGACACAAGGGAGGTCATCAGGGAGTGCGTGTGGAACAAGTGGCAAGGGTTTGGGAAGGAGCAGAGAGGAAACCCACCATGACGATTCAGGACAGAGAGCCTGGAATGGGAAACAGGAGAATGTGGAGAGGGAGAGTATTTCAAGGAGGCAGGAGCAGAGGTAGTAGAGGCTGCTTAAATAGAAACTCCAAGATGGAAAAGTCCGTGACAAAGACAGTGTGTGAAATATTAAGCCAGTGTGCATATGTGTGCTTCACGCTCCATGGGTCACATTCCCTGTAATTTTCTCTCTCTCACTGAATCAATGGTAGCCGTTGCTAGTGAAGGAGGCAGTAGGAGACATTCTAAACAAGAAAGCCATTGCTCAGTTTTGAACAAGACAAAATCATATTATCCACTAGCAAGGACAATTCGACTTCCTCCTTTCCCTTCAGAAGCCCTTTATTTCTTTCTCTTGCCTAATTGCTTTGGCTAGGACTTGCAGTACTGTGTCAAATAAGGGTGGTGAAAGGGGGCGTCCTTGTCTTGTTCCAGATCTTAGAGGGAGAACTTTCAGGATTTCCCCCTCCAGTACGATGTTAACTGTGGGCTTGTCATGTATGACCTTTTTGTGTTGAGGTATGTTCTCTCTGTTAGGCTTTCTTGAGCCATAGTGAGACAATGGTCTTAGAAGCCAAGCTCAATTAGGAGAGAAAAGAGCTTTCCTAATTCCAAAACTTTTCCTTTGCACATGAAGAGCAAGGTTTAGGGCACTAGGCCTGGATGTAAACAGGATGCAGGATATGACAAGGGGGTGGTTTCCAGCAGGTGGAAGACGGGGGGAGGGAAGGCTGCCAAACTGGAGCCTGATTACCTCCTTCTCCAACACTTGTGGTCCTCCTGGGTTCTGGATGTGTCCTTGGGACTTGAATCCCAGAGGCCTTTGTACCCCAGGTCACTGGTTCTGGAACAAGCTCTGTGAGACCAAAGGCCACCTCAGAATCACCTGGGACCCTTGGTAAAAATACATTCCAGCCATCCCAAGACCTGCAGAATCAGAGTTTCTAAGGGTGACTGCAAATCTATATGTGTTACAAGTTCCTTGGAATGATCCAGAGTAGAAGGCCCGTGTGCTGAAACCAGCCCTAGTATACTTAGAAAGGTCTCCAGACGTGAACCCAGACCCTTCCCACTTGGGTCAGCTTTGCAGAGGGTCTGGTTTCACTGCTGCACCGCCATCTGGCTTGCTGGTGGGGAAGATTTTGCCTTATTAATCTGCCAGAGTTTTCACCTATTCCCCAAAGAATAACATTTTTAAAAAGGGCAACTAGTAGAGTTGCTTAGATTTGTACCGTCTTCTGGATTCTTTATCAAAGACTATTAATGAGTAACCCTGGGATTGTATAAAACTTTATTATGGACCAGGAAGTAAAGATTTAATGTCAGGAAACAAAATTGAGACAAAAAGAGTACATACCTGAGGGAAAAATATAAATAATGGAATTTGGGGGACTCAGGTTAGCAGTAGTTTTATTTTAAAATTTTGTAATTCATCTGAAAGAGGGAAAACACAATAGAATCTATATATGTGTACATTCTCCTAAGTTCTCCTGATTTGAAAAATATTAAATCAATAGAAATAATTTTCTGAGACTCTTTGAAGATTGTGTACGTCAGCACAAAAGGGGCAGACATGCTCCAGTGTGAGCAAGAGTAACAGTCCATTTAGGGGAAAAGATCTGAACCGTATTTATCTGATGATGAACTTTAAACTGTGAATTACTACAGAGGAAAAGGATTTGAGCTAATTGAGGACTAAAAAGACCCCAAGGTCAAATAATTCGGTGAAATATTGCAAACCATCTCTGGCCAGATTCACCGCGTACCTTCACACGTTAAAGACTTGGCAAAGACCTGCAGTAATGCGCTCTGCTTAACTTGGTTTATTCTGGGCCCAAATAAGTTTTGAAAGGTTGGAAACATAGGTAGTTAAGTTCATGGGAGACTACTGAGAGAAATGAGTTTATTAGGCTACCTGCC